ACGCCGCCCGGCCACCACGACTTGAGCACCACGCCCGTGTAGTAGTGCAGCATGTGCTCGCTGAACAGCCACGATATCGTCTCCTTTATTTGTCTATCAACATTATTTTTATTAATTTCATACAAATTTACACACATTTTCTTAAATATACACCAAAACATAATTGATTGAACTTCTTTCTACGCCAAACTTTTTGTTTAACTATCCTATCACAAAACGTTAAAGACGAAAGTGTTATTTGATTAAATTATTATGCCCAGTTTACACTGGGCCTGTACAGTATAACAGTTGCGACAGCAAGCGATAGTCATTGGCGCCTGTTAGTGTACACACTCTGCCAATTGACTGTCCAATCAGAGCGCTACTAACCAACTGGTTTGGCCAAGCGTAAACCACGCATTACTCGAGTATCATAGATAGGAGTGATGTCAGTTTTTTTACTGTAAATATTGTTACCTATTAATGGTCCTGCCGTATGTGATCTGCACAAAGGTGACGAGGGTCTTCCGCAGCCAGCGGAATACTCCGCGCATGTCGAAAACTTCGCTGAGCAGCGCGTACAGCGGCTCCGCCACGCTGTCGCGCTCCTCGGACATGCCGCCCGCGCCTGACCACCATAAAGGTCATCGCTCATTACACGCCGCATATGCGCAAAGATAATGCAGTACCTCTACTCGATTTTTTGAGATACAAATAAGAAAATTTGATGGGGATTGTAAAGTAACTAAGGACATGCTAGCATCAACTTTATTTTCACCTTAACTAGTGAAGAATATTTCGGTTGTTATCGAACTTTAAAATTTGTTGGCGAGAAGAAATACGTTAACGTCTTATGGGTCATCAAAGTTTACAGTAAGATAAAATTAAGTTTGTGATCGTAAGGTTCTTATCTTAAGTGTAACGTTTCATAGAGGCGCTGAAGAAAACTTACATAAATTTGTTGATACATAAATAAAAAAAATCCCTTCAAAATGTTTTCTTCTTGAGCCTCTGTAAGCGTCGACCTTTATTTTACATTTTTAACAATATCTACTGCACGAGATCGTGGAAAGAATAGTCGTGTTCAATGGCAACATTGTCCTTTGTCACTTTTTGTGTTTTTAATTAGCCTGTGCTATTTTCCAGCTATAAATTGTGTACATAATTGTCCTAACTGTACTAAATACTTTGCTATTTTAAATATTTTAACGTCTAATTAACGTTTAGTTCAATTTACGTGCAACAGGCGTAAAATTTAAATTAAATCTAGACCAAGAGTTTTTAATTAAAACGCCAATCAACTTGTTAAAATATTTCTATGTCTATCACTTACGCGGTCAGACGCATTTACGCTATAAATATACGGAATAAAGTGCCAAAACTACTTGATCCATCGCAGATTTCGTGGGTGTAGTTTATATGACGCGTTTACATATAAATGTCATCTCATGTAAATATAAATTTTTTTATATCAACAATTCAGTTTTTATATTGTAGCAAGTTTTATCAAAGACAATTATGATAATAAAAAGTGCCTTGACGGTGAAATGCTGCGTTTAACCTGTACTAATTAATATTATCATCTTTATAATTAAAGAGGAAATATTTGTATTTTTGTATGTATTCGATTCAACTAAAAATTACTGGGTCCATTTTAAAATACATTCACCATTAGTTAGGCGATTTTTGTTACTTTTTAATACCGTTTGTAATTTTTTGTTCCGCGTATCGTTTTAAAATATTCAAAACATTGTAACTTTTAAGGTGATCCACCGCGAGTTGCCCCGACTGTACATAAATGAAGTATTTAAGTGATTATATATCA